GGAAAAGGCTTTGTTGGAAGAGGTTTACCTAATTAATGTGATCTCTCACCTCGAAAGGATTAATCTTCGGTTGTTGGCTGGAAGATACCTTGGGAAACAAAAACAAAAAGTATCATTACTACCTTTTTTAAAAGGAAAAAAAATATTTTTACAGCTACTTTAGATAAGGTTATCTACCGTTACCATTTATAACTATGTTCTTCCGGGAGAACATAGTTATAACATTAAAGTTACTTTTTTTTTCTCTCTCTCCACATCAGCAAACAAGTTCTGAAAAGTAAATGAGAAGAGAAAAAAAAAAACAACTTTAATGTTATAATTATGTTCTTCCGGGAGAATATAATTATAAATGGTAGCTGTAGATAACTTTATCTAAAATGGATGTAAAAATGTTTACCCATTTTTAAAATTACAAATTTTATGTCAAGTATTATACATTGAGTAATAAAATTATAGACTCCGTAATAAATGTTATAAATTAGAAAAGTTATATACGTATAAAAATTACGAATCTTTATTACTCAGTTATAATTTAAAAAAGGAAGTGTACTCAGAAGAAACATTGAAATGAAGTCATTATTTCTCATATAATGAAAATGGTTGTTAAAAGTACAACGTTTGTCTTAGCCCTAAAAATGACTATATATTGACCTGCGTCTTGCGCTAACATTCGAAAGCACTTACTTCCTCATTAAGGTAACTAGTAAATTACTTCTCGTCCCAATCTGCAATATATATCCTTCTCGTTAAGATATATGTCGATGATGCTGTAACTAATTAAAACATTTCACTGATAACGTGACTTCAAATTAGTACTTACCTTATGGGTTTTTATTCTATTTCAAAGAATTTGTGAAGTTTATGAACACCCCACAAAGGCACTAACCTTTTTGATTGTGGTATGATTTTTCTCTGTACTCCTCTCCGAATAGCATTAGCTAATACAAAAGAAAAGAGAATAAAAATTGGTGGCTTCTTTCTTGCTTCCATTATGCCATGAGACTAAATTGGGGTTCTTCAATCTTCTTCACAAGATTATGAAGTAGCTTTGGACGTAGACGAAAAGCAAAGAGATGGAGATACTTCATAAGTGTTTAGTTGCTTTCCATGCATGCAGATGTGGATGAGAATGATTTATTAATATTTGAAATATAAAAGGTGCAAATTAAGAACGCCCCACAGGACCATTTCTATGGAAGATCATATCCCTACCAACCAAATAAACACTGAATACCAGATCATATCACATTAACTTTTTCTTTTTCTCCACGTGCCTAACCACTTCCGAGGAAAGTAATAATCACAAACAATCATTCTCATATGAAGATAATTTGTAGGATACATATAGGGTTATATAATTGTCTTTATACAGGAGAAAAATTGTGTCTTCTACAGACAAAATTAATTAGAGAAGGAAAAAAAAAATGCATAGATGGACCCCACCTCTTAATTATGTTTACAGGGACACACTTCTTTTCCTAGTAACAAGATAATTATACAGCCCCATATATATATAAAAAGCAAAAAATAAAAGAAATGACAATTAACGAAAAAATGCAACAAAACTTAGGATTCCCTCTCCCTGTCTCTTTAAATCATATCACACCCGCTTTTAGCAAATAATAACATTAACCACAAAAAAAAAAAAAAAAAAAATCATTTTCAATGGGAAACCAACTTTAAAACTGTGGGGTTAAAGCTAATTCAAGAGATCATGAAGACCTGTTGTTAATTACTTGGCATTCTTGTTCTTAAAAAGAATAAAACGACAGATAAATAGCACATTGAGCACATGAAGGGAGAAGGTTAGGAACTAGGAAGGGAAACCCTTTTCTATGAGTGGCATTCATTCTTCATATGAATCAAAACACATGCCCCTTTTCTTTTCTTCTACGCAAGTGGCTTCTCTAAACTGTTTATGAAACCCTGTTTATTTTTTTTCTGGTCATGCCTGTCAATCTCAATATACGTCGAGGAAGAAAGCAAAACCACTTGCAGGAACAGAGGATCCAATTATTAAGTTGACTTGTCGCTTGTTAACATCAAACTGTAAAATCTCATCATTACATCAACTATTCAACGAACATGATTTAAACGGAGTTAGTTAAATTAAGCATTTCAATCGACAACGAAAACCTAATTATTCAATGCAAAGTTCCCAACTTCCACCCGTCATCTTTTACGAATTAATAATCAGCACTGCGCTTGATATGGCAGATTTCTAAGTTGGATGGCTCCAATTTCCTTTCCTTGCTTCCTAATTAAGAATTCTGTTCAGATATATAATCTCACATTGTACGTGCAATTAATTAATGTGGAGTTTATAAGGACTTGGGCACTCTCACCCTTTGAACTAGCTTTTGAGATGGTGTATCTGAAGGTTCTTTACATGGTGTCAGAGCCTCGCCGCCCCCCACTTTTTCTTGTGGACTTTCTTAGCATAGGCTGGGCCTGTTGCATCTTCCACTCTTCAAACCCAATGGACTCTTGTGTGAGGAGACATGTTGAGATATATAGTCTCAAATTAGTTGTATGTGCAACTAATGTGGGAGTTTATAAGGCCTTGAGCACTCCCACCCTTTAAGCTAATTTTTAGAGTAATGTATCCCAAAATTCTTTACAAATTCAGGTGTGCTTTTTCATTTCCATTGCCACGTTAATCATGTGTGGGAAGGAGAACTTCCCTTTACTTTAAAAATATCTTAGTCACTCTCATACTATTGAAGATTCAATATACCAAAGTTATTATGATTGGTTCGGGGTTTAATACCTGAGTGGCACCATTGTATTAAAGATTTAGTATATTAGTTGTTAAAGTTGGAAAATATTAATCCACCTAAGGTTCAATTTTTCTTATTTTTTAGTAAAAGAGTTCCTATTCCCATAATATCATAATTGATGGTTCTCAATCTAAAAGAGTACCTACTTCATTGGGATGGAGTATGAATTTTTCTTCTTCTTTGGTATGTCACCCATTAAAGATTTTTGCACACAAAAAAACATACTTCATACTCCAGAGATATATAGGATCTCTACATTGAGTCATTAATATATGTAGGTGTTCTAGAGATAACTCGAAAATCACTTGGTAGGTCTAATGCCGAGTTGGGCTTCCCACCTAGGAGCTCCGATCGACTAAGGCAAGAGCCCACCAACTCGGGACGTGGGTCTGCGACCCACGATCCTGCACCTGCTCTTCACACTCACAATCACCACCTATGAGATAATTACTTTAAGGCCACTTTCTCCCATGATATCTGTCCCAAAGAGCTATATTTATACTTGAACAATGTTTCACAAGGGATCATCTTATCCACATTGCATTTCAAAGCACCCTAATGCCCTGAAAGCTCTCACCATCTTCAGGAAAATACACACACATGCACCCCTTTTCAGTATTTCTATCGGACTTCAACTGAAGGTACTGGACTTTCCATTGCTAGTTATTTCTACCATAAGCTTCGCATACAATTACCAACTTCTTAACTGGACATTAATATTCACCTATCAACAATAAGATATGAAAATAATTTGTTGCCATTATAGTGAAACCTTCCCAATTGGTGAAACAAGACAAATTGATAATTTCAATGATTGAAGGCAATAATCCATAATGCACGGGCAAAAAGCAAGTCGCATTTCATTATTCAGATAGCCAGAACATGCACAACTTTTCACATTCCATTACCTATATTATATAATCTAGGAAGAGCTTTGACAGTGGCATAACTAGGGATAGGGATGTAAATGGGCTAGGCTAGCCTACAGGGACTTATGGCTCAGCCTATTTTAGGTCAGACTTAGTCTATTACAAATAGTAAAATAGAATAGGTCTAGGCTTTTAAAAAAACTTATTTGAAAAATAGGCCATAGGCTTTCTTATACATGTCGGGCCCGTAAGCCTACAGACCGGCCTATATCATATTATTTATTTTAAATAAAATAAATAAAATTATTATTTTAATAATTTTGAATAATAAAATAATATTATTTTAAGGGAGGGGTTATATTTACAACCCAAATAGTTTACAAACTCTTACAACCACATCTTAATCGTTGATTTCCGCCAATCAACAGTTGTCATTTATTGTGAATTAATAATTAATTAATAATTTTGATTTGTGAAATTCTTAACCGTTGATTGACGGAAATCAACGGTTAAGATATGGTTGTAAGAAGTTGTAAACGAAAATAGGTTGTAAGTATAACCTTCTCCTTATTTTAATTATTCTTTTAATTATTGAATGTTTAATAGGCTTAAACAAACTAACAGGCCTAGGCCTAAGCCAAGGCTTTTATTTTTTAAATATAAGTCACACCAAACTTATAATTTAGAGCCTACACAAACTAATAGGCTAAGCTAGACCCAATGTTCTTTACACAGACCTAATCTATTTAACTCAAAGCCTAACCTAGCATATTTACATCCCTTCCCTTGGCATAAGCAAAGCGGTACTCCAATAGGCATTGAAATGCCAGCCCTTTTAAATGTCTTTCTTTTGTTTAATTCGTCTAAGCCCAACTCATGATAGGACCCAACCTAAACAAACCGAACCAACCTATGACACGGCCTTAGATATTGCTTAGTGTTTTCATAATTTCATTATCATCAAGGCCTATATACAAATGTTTTGCTCCTTATTCCTCACATATTATGACTTTGGAAAATTCTTGTACCTATCATCATTTCTCCTCACTTCTATATAAAGAACTGTTTGAAGTTTGAATCAAAAAATAAAATAAAATAAATAAACAGCTTGAAATTTATGAGCGAAATCATATTTGATCAAACATAATCCTTTAATTAGAAGAAAATGGATCGCAACTAAATTAATATCTTCAAAATTTAATGATATAGTTCGTAGATATTAAACGATATTTCAAACTATCAAAAGAAAAAGGGAAAAAAAGTTCTGATGTTACTTTAGACAACTTTGTATAATGTTCATCGAAACGACGTCGTTTTGAGATTGAAAAATTAAAAAATTAGAATGATAAAGACTATTATAATCCTGAAATAAATTAAAATTACAAAAATACCATGATTTCCGTCCCAAAACGACATCCTTTCGATGAACATTAGATAAAGTAACTTTCAGAAAAAACAAAACCAAATAAAAAATGATCTTTGAAGATCATATAATATCCTCGATTCTAAGTTGTCAATATTTATCACTAAATGTAAATGTTACGGATATTTTGGGTTAATACAAGTTTTTTATGTCGGGGAGGGAAAACGAAAAGGAATCAACTGGGTTTAGGATTTATCCGGCATTAGCCACCCACAAAAAGCCTTTTTACACGCAAGTTGCCTCGTACATGCGTCACCGGTGCCTTTCCCTGAGAACCGCAGCCCCGCCGCCTCTGGTCTTTCCAAAGAAGGCATTCTTGGGTTTTGGTAACTCATGGAGGTCCATCACCTGAATCGTTCTTTGCCTTTTGGCTAGACAGCCCCACCAAAACACATGCAAGATTACCACTCAGCATATATATACATGTATGTATAAAACTAACCATAGAAACATTAGTTAGATAGAACGAAAATGAAAATTAAGGAAACAAAAACCTCACCATTTGCAGCCTCTTTGTAGTTCTCTTGAAGCCGCCTTCTTGCTGAAGCAAGTCTCTCCGAGTCAAAATTGGTCTCTCTTTGTTCTCTCTGTCTCTGCAATCATTCAAAAAACGTGTCAGGATCACCCCCAGTCATGCCCGTAATTTTTGTAGTCACATTAAGAGATCAGAAACTCCAAAAGGTTATAAATTCAAATCCGTACTTTTTGAGGAGCAAGAGAAGTCGGGACAGATAGTGATGCCTCTGGTTTTGGTGGAGCTTCTTTGCGAGGAAATGCTTTTGGTTTTAGTTCAGCTTGGGTATGGTTGCGCTCTAACCAAAAACTCCCATCTATGTGAGTAGGAGAAATGTTAGTATATCAACCAAACCCAGACGAGATACAAAGCTTTGAATCATATATTGGCTTATTGACTCTTTTCATGTCAAATCCAACATATATTATCGGTGTCGCATTCTATAAAATGTGTATGTAACTTAAACACGCACTACCACTAAGATGCACATCTTACATTAAGTTGATTTATGCATGAGTCACATATAAAAGTGATGCATGACTTAAGCACATACACTCCTAATACGCATCATATTAGTAATATATTTGTGTTTTTGCATAGAAGGATAATTTTTTTTTCATATACTATACACTCACTCTGTAGATTTGGAGAGTTCCCAAAGTCAGGAATCTGCAAAAGGAATAGAATATTAGAAAGCCAAACTGCCAAACAAAACCGTGGGTCTTTCCCGGGAAAAGGACCTGGTGGTAAAAAAAAAAAGATTTCTTTTAACCTGATGATGCCCGTTTTGTGGGTTTTTCTGCTGAGGCGAGTCTTCATCAACTGCCATGTCAACAATATGAATTATTACCATTTTCAATTTACCAAGAACAAAATTTTCCACTTTAAATTCAGAAATTTTTCAAAACGAAGATTAAGTCAAGATTACCCATGACAGCTGTAGCCGGTTCTCCCGGTGTCTCCAACATCACCCATTCATCTACAGTTTCCCTCCACTTACTGGGAACAAAAACAGCTAAAAGTCAATCAATATCCTCCTAAAAGTCAACAAAAACAGCTAAAACTCATTAACATCTTCTGCAAAGTTCATTCTTCATATTTAAAAAATAAAATGGGCTCTTTCCAAAACCTGACAAGTAGCTTCACCAATCTCTTAACTTCATTAGACGAATGCTTCCGCAACCGATTCACATGCCTCCCAATGGCAGTGTCCTACGGAATTAGATAAACTTGAAATTAAAAAAAAAAAAAAAAAAACCCAAAAACCTAAAATAAATTGAAAGAAACAAGACAAGTTTGTTACCTCTAAAGCTTGGAATGTAATATCCATGTCTGCGAGATTCTGTAGCAACTCCACCAAGGAATCTTCCGACTGATGAAGAAAACAACAACAAAATCAAAAACACATTTATAAATAAGCAAAGAAAAAAAAAATGTAAAAACACTACTTAATTTAGAAATTAAAGAAACAAGACCTGGTGAGGGTCTTCAAGTTGGTCTTTGATTTCTAGAATCTTCTTCTCCTCATCATCAAACAACCCACCGTAAGGATCCTTTTCCTTATCCGTTGAGGGACTACTCTGCCTCTTGATTTCACCGTTATTGGCTTCGCAGTTCCGACACCGCGACGGAGCCGCCGTAGTCGACGCCGTGTAAAGGCGCTCCACGATTCCGTCTCTCCGGCGCTTCAATTCGTTGGCGTAATCAACGGAAGCCACCGTGATTGCGGCGTCCATCAACACCCAAACGTCAACGCCCGCACTCTCCAATATGGATCGGAACTTCTCCAAATCCATATCCGAATCAAAATCAATCAATCAATCTGAGTTATAGCTACGCAGATGCAAGAGAACTGATCCCAGACATAAACAAACAAAATCAATACCTCTTCTCTTTTTGAAATTTTTTCCGAGAAACAGTTTATGGGTTTTTGATTGATCCACAACCGAGTTGTGGATAATGAAAATTGAACAGAACAGAAGGTAAGGAATTATATAGTATATTCAACAAAACCTCAAAAATAATTTAATTTTTTTTTTTTGGAGTGTTGTTATTATGGTACGTGTGCGCAAAGTGTTGTCACTAATACCATGACTATTTCTTTGTGCTTTTATCACTCTTTCTACGAAGCTGGTTTTCCCTTCTTTTTATATATATATATTTCTTTTCTTTTCTTTTCTTTTCCGTGTTTGTTTTCTATGGGCAAAGGGAGATGAACAAACGAAGAGAAAGAATAGGATTTGAGATCACCTTTACCTGCTATGCTATATTGCTATGCTAACTATTCTTTTTTTATTTATTAATATAAAGAAGATAAATTATGGGCTTTCCATTGGTCCTGTTACAGCAATATAAAGTTTTTTTTTTCTTACAATACAAAATAATTAAAAAATTAAAAAAAGATAAATTTTATTTTATCGCTAGTCTCGCATGATAGGAATCATGTTCCTATAACATAATTGTTATTAATCCCATAAATTATATGAAAAAAAGGAAAGAAATATGTTTGGGTTGGATGGGCTCTACACAATGGGAAGAATGTTGATATGTGTGTGTGTATAATAGCCATTACAGCATGTCCACATAGGATTTTATTTCGTAAAAAAAAAAAAAAAAAAAAGATAAAGAGGAATGACAGACTGTAGTGCACCTTCAATGGAGCAAAAGACGTAATGACTAATGACTATGGACTCTGTCGTGTCAACACAGGGCATTGGCTTCTCCACCTCCAACCTTGATTCTCTCCTGATACCCTAATTCTTCAACGCTGCTTTTAACTAATTTAAGCATAATTACACACACAAGACTAGCACGGAATAAAGTCATTAAATTGGCGTGGTTAGTACTTCCATTATTGAGTTAAGGAAATCTAAATTTGACACATGTAATATTTTTTAATAAAATTTAAATCTAAAATCTTTTGATTTAATTGTGCATATCTTATTTATAATATTAGATAAAGATAAGTTATTCAACCTATTTTTTTTATATCTATTTTATCTATTGATTTCTGGCTTTTTTATCATTTTGTCCCTCATTAATTATTTAATAACTATTTTGTCTCTTATTGCAAATTATCTACCAATCTGTCTCTTTTTAATCGATTAAATAGAATATTTAATCGATTAAATGGTCAAATGAAGATTTAGTCGATTAAATCTCCTTATTTAATCGATTAAATCTTCCTCTTTTGACCATTTATGGGAGATTTAGTCGATTAAATAGGGAGATTTAATCAACTAAATCTTCAAGTCAACGATTTTTTGCCTATTTTGACCGTTTAATCGATTAAATTTTTAGCTTAATCAATTAAAGAGGGACAGATTGATATATAGTTCTGAATAAGGGACAAAATAGTTATTAAATAATTAATGAGGGGCAAAAGGGTCAAAAAGCCATACTTATTTACCAAAAAATAAAATAAAAACAAATCAAGAAATTAACTAAACTAGAATAGTTATAATTACTACGCACAATTCTCTCTGTAATAATTTGCACACGTTACCAAATTTTTCCATAATATATATGGGATTGGCATTCATCATTTAATATGACAAGAAAAAGTTTTCTATATACACAACATTTTGTGGGACTCGCATTTTTTGGATAAAAAAAAAACAAAAAAATTATGACACGTAGAACGAATCTCTATAACATAACACAATTACTTTTCCTACAACATAACTTTTATAAAACCCAATATATATACATGATTCATTCCATAATATGCATGTGATCACGAATGTCCAACTTGTGGAAAATAAATTTGAACAGTTAGCATCCGAAAACTTTTAGGGCTGTATTGGATTGAGATTTTAATTGATTATTTTTAGATAAAAAAAGTCATTGATATTCAATTAAGATTTTAAAAGATTGAAAAAAAATCACGTGATATTTGATTAGGATTTTAAAAGATTATTTTAGAGTCAGTCCAAATTTGATGGTATTCAATTAGGAATTTAAATAAAGAAAAAACAATCTTGTAGTATTAAAAAATTTGACGATTTTAGTGAATTTTCTATTGGTGTGGATTTCGTGAGACTTTATAGTGAGAAGTATAAATAAGATTTCTCTCTCGCAATATCATCCAACCTTTAGAATTTCTTGAAATTTCTATATTGCAGTACTTCTTCTTCCTTTGACGGGTCGACTCGCTCAAAACGATGTTAGTTATAACCCTGGTTAAAACTAACATATATATGTGTGGGGGGGGGGGGGGATATGAGTATTATGATGTAGTAATGTGACCCAATAAATTAAAACTGTTAGATTGACAGAAATCAACGATTACGATTTCGTGTAAGAATTATTATTCTTTTATCGTTGTAAGTTAATTATATGTATAAATATATATTTCTCAAGTAACTTGAGAAATAATTTTTTCGGTCAGCTCAAAACTATGTCGTATGATTGTTGTAAGTTAATTATATGTATAAATATATATTATTCTTTTATCGTTGTAAGTTAATTATATGTATAAATATCTTTTGTTTTAAAATTCTATATATCGTATGATTGTTTTTCATTCATCTGTTTTAAAATTCTATATCTCGTATAATTATTTCTTATTTTCCATCTTATCATTATGAGCATTGGCAACTCCTATATTTATGAGGATTCCATTCATATATGCATTAACAATTTTCCATTTTTATTCATTGAATTGGCAACTCATTATTAGACATAAAAGTGCAAACTTAAAAGTGCTTTATAAAGAATTACAGAAATATCACAATCCCTATATAGTGTAAATGTCAGATTCTCATCCAAACCTTAGGCATAAATCTATGTAGAAAGTAATGGTATAATAAATGAGCTGCCACCAATGATTGTCCAAATGTTTTCCCACCACTACAAAGTTTAAAATTCAAAATTCAAATTTAAATGAAATTCGAAATTTAAAATAAATATTTCAGAAAATAATGAGTTATTATTAATTTGAAAATTTCAATGTAAAAAGCAGTGGGACATCGAATGAGTTGTCTGCCACCAACAAATGGTTCACTTAAATTTTAATTTATTTTAATTCAATTTTAGAGTAAATTATATATTTATTTAATTTAAACTGTTTAGCCTTTATTTTGCAATTTAAGATCCCATTGAATCTGTTGAGCAATTACAGTGTGTCATTTCAGTTCAAGAATCAGAAAAACCATTTATAGTGGCAACGACAATTACGTTTTAGGTGGCAATGATAATAAATGACATTTATAACTATTAATATTGTTTGATTTATGTATTTACATATTCCATTAAATCTGTACATTAAATTTTCATATATGTTATCTTTACCTACTTAAATGCCATTTAAAATGACGTTTCACTTACCCGTAACTATTAGCATGTAGGTCAACAGATTGGACTTCAGCGTAAAACGTAAAAACCCTTTTTTAAAATGACGTTTCGTGCAGTTTTTATAACTTCGAACAGATTGTAATTATACCCAATTAACCACTTTTTTTAAAATGTCATTAATCATTTCATATATGTTGTCTTTAAATATTTTTTAAAATGAGGGTTAACAATTTGCATGTAAAAAATGGAAGAAATTTAATACAATTGTCTCCCACTAAAAGATGTTAAATTCTTTTCCCACCTATATCAACTTCAAATCTCGAAATTTCAAAAAAAAAAAGAGAATATTAATGAACCTGTCTGCCACTAATTAATGCTGAACTCTTTTCTTTGGGTCTTTTGGTATTTCGATAAATATAAAAAAATCACTAAATGATTTTTAAAATGAGGGTTAACAATTCTCATGTAGAAAATAATAGAAATTTAATACAGTTATCTCTCAGTAAAAGATGTTAAATTCTTTTTTCACCTATATCAACTTCAAATTTTGAAATTTCAAAAAAAAGTGGGATATTAATGCATATGTCTCCCACTAATTAATGCTGAACTCTTTTCTTGGGATCTTTTGGTTTTTTTATAAATATGCAAAAAAACATTAAATATTTTTTAAAATGAGAGTTAACAATTCTCATGTAGAAAATAATAGAAATTTAATACAGTTGTCTCTCACTAAAAGATGTTAAACTATTTCCCCACCTATACAATTTTGAATTCTAAAAAAGAAGTGGGATATTAATGCACCTGTCTACCACTAATTAATGCTGATTTTCGCACTAACTATTTAGAATTATAAAAATATTATTAATGTTTTTGTTATTAATAATAAAAATGTATTAAATTGAAAAAAGAATACAAACCAAAAGAGCACTAACAGTACTTCTCTGCCTGAATCGCAAAATGACATGCATACTTTAAAACTCTTCCTGAATCGCAATAACAACGCCAAGAATATTATAAGTCAATTTTTTTTTTGGTAGGCTATTATAAGTCAAATTAAACTTTTTATTAACGTAGACATTTACTTAGTTTTTATTATACGTCAAATGAAAGCTAGATAAAATCATCGGACATTATAAAGCCAAGAATGATTGCAAAATATGATTTATCATTTACGTAGACATTTATTAACGTAGACATTTAATTTCAATAATTTATTCACATTTAATTTCGCTAGAGAAATAAAAAGAAAATAAGAAGGATATACAAAGGATACATAATAAAAGTCATACATAAAATAAAAACAAAATAAGAAAAGGAAAGAATATATAATAATATATCTTTTTCGTTATTATGGAGCCACAATTGTGTGATGCATATTCAAATAAAAGAAAAAGAAAAAGAAAAAATGGAAGGATTCAAAATTGAAAAATCAAAAGAGGGTAACCCATATCTTCTTCAGTCTTTCACAGCTTACAACAACAAGTTTAGCTCTTCTCTGAAGATCTGCAAACTGCACATGCGCTTTCAAATAGTATAATAGTTGAAAGTGAATCCACCGTAAGGACGACAATTGTTCACTTGTTTCCTCGCATTGAACATTGAGGACATATGCTTCCAAGCAGCACGTTTGTTGAACAAATGATCATCAAATCTACTTCCAAGACCAACCCGCTCTAATAAAAGATAAACAAAATACCGATCCATCTCAGGTTCAAGATTGATTGCAAGAGATGAATTAGAAGAATCGAAAGAAAAATGAGAGAGAAGTGGGAAAATAAAAAAACCATAACAGATGTAGATATGTAGATCAGATC